GTTATTGCTGCTTTTAAGCATAAAAACCCAAAACACTATTATACAATCAGGGTAACCTGTACCCTTCGAGAGGACTTTCGGATCTGGCAATTATTTCTTGAAAACTTTAATTGAATTAGCTACATTTCGCACCAAAAATGTTTGTCAAACAACAAGCTACAGTTATTTAACGATAGTTCTGGAAATAAAGAATCGGGTTGTGGGGAATACTTTAATGGTCGATGGATTCAATTTAGCTGGCCTGTCAGTTGGTCAAACAAGGACTTGATTCGGGATATGACATTTTTAGAGCTGATTCCGGTTGTGCTGGCATTCCTGACTTGGAAAATGTATCTAAAACAGAACTGTGTCATATTAAACACTGCTAATTCCGCGCTTGTGTCAATCATCAACAAACAGTCATCGAAATCCCCACGAGTAATGCATCTTTTGCGTCCTATGGTGTTAGAACTCCTGATTAACAATATTTAAGTTAAGGCAAAGAATAACACAGCTCATAGTCTTTCACGTTTTCAGGAACAGTGCTTCCGAGAATTGGTTCCGATGGCACGCAAATTTCCAGATCCTATTCCGGTTTCTTTTCTGGAGGCAATTTCAAAAGTGGAATTGACCAACTCTTAATAAATTCAGTTGCTCATAATACATTAAACACCTATAGTTGTTGCATGAATTCATTTCATGAATTTCGAAGGTCGTTTGGTATTGAAAATTCCTGGCCTCTGACTGTTCAAGAAATAGCTTCCTTTATTGTTTACTTGTTTCGTTTGGGTGTATCCCACTCAACTGCCAAATGCTACGTATCAGGGTTGGGATTTTATAGTAAAATTAATAATTTGGACGACCTTACAACTTCATTTCTGGTAAAGAAAGTCTTAGGGGGCTATAATAGGAGAAAAGGGTTGCTTGACGGTTGGTTGTGGTTTATTATCTATCTATACTGATATTTGTGACTGCCATTTGTCTGTCTGTTCAGGGTTTGCGGTACACTAGGGCTTCCCCGAGACTGAAATTTGGTCTTTAGGGGTAGTTCGGACCTGGGATTAACATAGGTCTGGTCTACCGATTTCGGTTTCGGAGTTCGGAGTTATAGGCACAACCCGTGCAGCTCCAGGTCATCCACTAGTTGTTTATATTTCAAATTACATATATATAGTCCGGGGGCTGAGGGGGGTCCTGTGTGCAATCATATGTCCCCTAATTTTGACTCTTGATCCCTGTAGGGTACCCATAGGAGATTGAAAAAAACTTGGCTAGACATTCCAGATATGGGGCAGAAAGTTGTAATTCAAGATGGCGTCCAAGATGGTCGCCGTACCCTTATACCCGATATAACTCCATCTGGATTTGTCCTAAAGGATTTGGTGTCTTTACCTAGGTTTTGGGGGTCAAGGAATCCATTGAAATCATTTTCAGGGTGAAAAAAGTAGCGGGTAATGGTGAATTCCAAGATGGCCGCCAAAATGGCCGCCACGCCCTTTCGGCTAGCCTGTCAAGGTGCATAATTGAGCGAGGAGAATAAACTTAGTGTCTTTTCTAGAGTTTTAGGGGTCAGGGATTTCACACAGACCATTCACTCTGCCGGAAGAACAATTTATCATTGTTAATTTCAGTATAGGGCAGCCAGTTGATCAGGATACTGGTTTTACTCAACCAAATTGTCAGAAGGATTTGTCTGACTATGTGACAGAGATTGGATACTTTATTAACATCTAGAGATAAACTATCGTATTTTGACAAGTGTTGTTATCTTGAACAATGCTGCACACAATATTCACAAATCTACAAATGTTCATCTTAAATAAGTTGTACAGTTAGGATCACTTTTCTGACTATCATTTTTTTTATGTACCACACCTACTCTGTCAATTTCTCAAAATACCACCATTAGGGTTTTTGCATTGGTTGCACTGACTGTTTGCCTGGCATTTACAGAATATGCAGCAGCGGGCGTTACTCTCTCTACAAGGACAGGGGCGAGTGGCACATTTCACACAGTTACATTTCAAAGACACTTCATCTGGCAAATTACGATGGTATTTCTTTGGGACGAGACATTCGTTTTCCATGGTAAACCCATAGTCTTGTGGGTTCAGTGACAAGTCTCCCAGGCAATTGACTTGGATGTAGGTTGCATAGAATGCCCTCTGAATATGACCTTCTGTAGCATCATAACTGGTTGGGGGAAGGTCAATAATTGTCATTGACTTTCTGTGATGGTACCAGTTGAAACGTAAATTATCCATCGTTTCAATGCCATGGTTCCCTCTGTTTATCACTTGTACCAGGAACTTTTCAGTGTTTTGCACACAATCCTGTACATCCGTATGCGCCCTCCCAAAGTCCTTCAAGTGCAGAACAGGATCGGCCTTGATGCCAGCAGCTTTTGTGCCAAATTTGCTGGTAATGTCACAGCCGGTCAATGCATGTGTCGCAGGGAGGACTTCACACATTGGTTTTCCAACTTTCACAGCTATTACATGAACCGGGATGAATCTTGTCGCCAACTCCCCCTCTGAGCCACAGTTCAACGAGTCCATTCGTTGCCAACACCCACACAGTCGATAAAGAATTTGCCAGATGAAGTGTCTTTGAAATGTAACTGTGTGAAATGTGCCACTCGCTCCTGTCCTTGTAGAGAAAGTAACGTCCGCTGCTGCATATTCTGCAAATGCCAGGCAAACAGTTAGTGCAACCAATGCAAAAACCCTAATGGTGGTATTTTGAGAAATTGACAGAGTAAGTGTAGTTCATAAAAAAATGATAGTCAGAAAAGTGATCCTTGTACAACTTATTTAAGGTGAACATTTGTAGATTTGTGAATACTGTGTACAGCATTGTTCAAGATAACAACGCTTGTCAAAATACGATAGTTTATCTCTAGATGTTAATAAAGTATCCAATCTCTGTCACATAGTCAGACAAATCCTTCTGACAATTTGGTTGAGTAAAACCAGTATCCTGATCAACTGGCTGCCCTACACTGAAATTAACAATGATAAATTTTTCTTCCGGCAGAGTGAATGGTCTGTGTGAAATCCCTGACCCCTAAAACCCTAGAAAAGACACCAAGTTTATTCTCCTCGCTCAATTATGCACCTTGACAGGCTAGCCGAAAGGACATAGCGGCCATTTTGGCGGCCATCTTGGAATTCACCATTACCCGCTACTTTTTTCACCCTGAAAATGATTTCAATGGATTCCTTGACCCCAAAACCTAGGTAAAGACACCAAATTCATCACTTTAGGACAAATCCAGATGGAGTTATATCGGGTATAAGGGTACGGCGACCATCTTGGACGCCATCTTGAATTACACCTTTCTGCCCCATATCTGGAATGTCTACCCAAGTTTTTTTCAATCTCCTATGGGTACCCTACAGGGATCAAGAGCCAAAATTAGGGGACATATGATTGCACACAGGACCCCCCTCAGCCCCAGGACTAATATGGAGGCACCAAAACGTTGTAAGTGCTCAGGGCCTCTATGGGTCTTAACCCGGCCCTGATTCCGCCCTATGTTTTTCCAGTTCAATTTACTTTACAATTTGTCCAAAACTGATACTTTTTGTTTGTACTTCAAAAATTCGCAGACAATCGATTGAAAATTGAAAGTGGATTCTTGCTCTCAAATGACATCGACATCTTCTGTGGGTATCACGTAACCTGTCAATCGATTGGTGTCGCAAGTAACTGGATATATTTCGTGACATAAATTAAGGCAATCAAACACAGTAATTGACAAATAAAGGCATGCAATTAAACACATTTATTATGATTTAGATATCTATAAAGAAAGAATTGACAGATGGCCCTAGACCAAATTTATTCAAAGTATCAAATGCTCGTTGATTCAAATGCAATTATTTCTCTTTTCATTAATGCTTCTTCATACATCGATATGATACCTAGACTGTAGTAGTCGACTTCTCTTTACCTGATGGGTAAAAATAATATCCATTAATTAAGTAACTCGACAAGCATACGCTTTGATCACCCGCCCAATATTTTATCAACTGGGATTTTGCAAGCTAGGATAGATTGCAACGAACGCAATAACCACCTAATTCAAATAACACACTTTTATGGAATAGCAATTACTATGGTTTATTTCACTGCGACATTCCAGTTACTAAATGCCATTCAAAGAATAAACACCTAATTCGTCGATGATATCGATATCGTGCCCAGTGGTTGGTATTAGGAAGATATAGTCATATTTTAGTTGAAATTTGTTCACAGGGTTTCATACTTTCAATGTAGGCTAATTATTACGCACAAATTTTGATCAACCAATCATATTACAGGATGTTTATTAATAAATATGCCCATAAAAGTTTCTCAAATGTGATCACCTTAAGAACTGAATAGTACTGAATAGTACTAAAATTCTTGATTCTTGATTGCCAATTCAATCGCCGCGTTGCCGGAAATATTATTGATTAAGTCAGATTGTCAAATCCACTCAATATCTAAGCCCTCCGATGTCCTAGAGAGTTGATTATGGTCCTGTCATGTGAATAATTAATAATTTATATAACATTTGAAGACCTTGCATAATGCCTCTTAAATAATGTGGTCTCATTAGCACAATGTATGACGTATGTCCATCTTCATTAGCCAAGTCGGTGCAGAAAGGTAGACCGTTAAACCCCATTTCAGTTCATTTCTATTTCTTTCTTTCATAGAAATCAAGTTATTCCGCTCAAACTATCGAGCAATCGAACTACAACATACTTATTGAATATGCCACCATAGATTACTGCACATTTTTAGAAATCGGAAAGCATATTTTATTTAGACCTGGTGCGTAGTCACAATAAATTGTGGGCGAAGGCAAGCCGGGCGGACGGATGTGACGACAATAACCGTCCACATTAACTGTCGGCTTATAAAGCGAAAGTGTTCATTTGTGTTTTACTTTATTTACATTTATACATTAAACATATACAAATATCATTTTAATTAAAAAAAAATATTACACTAAACAACCGGTTCTACACATAAATGGTTTAATCTCACTGAGGCTTAAAGGAGCTAACCCACCAACTCAATAATCCATAGTCTTCGACATTAAAACCACGAATATCCAACATTTAATACACAATTAACATCTTTAAATCAGTTCCCAGCGTCAGGTTCTGTGTAATCTCATTTGTAATGGGAAGGCTTGATGAATAATTTATAAAGCAAAACATATTCCACAAACTCAACGAAGTAATCAAAAACAGCTGGTCCACAAACAACAAAAACATTTTTTTTAAAGATGCCTTCCCATATACATACCCGGACATGATTAACTATTCCGAATTCATTCAATTGTTTCTGCTGCACACACAAGACAGTCAGATCAGCAATCACAGAGCGAAACAATATTTAGAACAGGTCCAATCTGTACCCAGCAGGCATTTGGGCACAAGAGAGTTAGTATTTCATGTATATTTTTATTGTTCTTATTCTAATGTACTACTACTAGAAGCTCAACTGTGCCGAAGCTTTATCTAATCAATTCTGGGCCAACGTTATTTTAAATAAAATACTTTCTGATGTAAAATTAACGGCTACACCTCATTCACAGACATTATATACTAGAATTATTTGCAACATATGTAAATTCACACATTCCACTGAATTAAGCATTCTCGTCATAGTTTATTATACTATATGGCTAACCGTTGATGTGTTCTTAACTGTCCACATGCATCCTCTGGATTTATTTGATTGTATAAACTATTATTTAAAGTTATGTTCTGATAATGGTGCCTGTAAGTAGAGTGGTGGCAAATCTTTATTGAAGCCATCTTTTCCTATGAGAAAGAAAGTCGCTATGCTACCTTTGCCCTGAAAGATTATGTTAATTTGTGGTTAATTTGATTTATATAAACATAACAACAGATAATCCCATCCCAGTCCCTTCACAGACTTTAATTTACTAATGTAATTTTTGTCATTAAATCACACAAATGACTACTGCCTGATTACAAACAATATTAACTAACCGATAAACATTATGCATATTATATGACGACTTTGATCTGTTTTTTTGTTCATAAGTCAACAGGCGGACTCGATTTCATTGATGGCATACTAAAATAAATGTTGTATTAATTATATATCGAATTCACCTTCATTATAACTTCTCCCCTACTCTCTAAATGGAATCCACCTAGTTCATCCAATACTCCTTTACATTCTGGACTGACGTGGATACGTAAAGCTATACAAACAAAAGAAAACATAAATAAACGAACAGGCTTAGCCTATGTAAAACCCCTCTCCCTAGATAATATACATACATAGTATTAAAAAGGAAAAAAATGGGAGTATATACACAGTTAAAATGACAAACACATACATATATGAGTGTAAATACATATATAATGAGACGGATTGGAATATACAATATATACTGTAGGCTACATTGTTAAGTAGATTTAAAATTAATATTGTAAATTAAACCACTAGTAAGCAAGATTAAAATCTGTTTGACATATCGATAAAATTGAGGACTTGGTTAAAAATATTGTTGTTTACATCGATACAGTGGGTTGAGGACCCGGACGGGAGACAGTTAATGTTTTGAGATCGTATTGTAGTTTGTCTATGGTTTCCTTTGGTGGATTTGAATATAAAGAGCATTTTTTTTTAAACCATATATTTATTCAGGTTGACTGAATGGGATTGGGGAACAGGCTTAGCCTATGTAAAACCCCTCTCCCTGAGCATTGCAAGAAGTAGTGATCAGGGTCTTCAAAAAAGTGACCACACAGGCATGCGGGGCTGTCAGCAACATGTCTGAGGTATTTGTGGCCCTGTAGGTCAGAACATCGGAGTCTAAGTTTACTATGAATTATCTGGAGTTTCCGCTGACCGTTATAATAAAAAGATGGAAATTTTATATCTGATTTGGAGAGATGATCGGAGAATATTTTAAGAGTTCTTGAGTTTCTTACAGGAGGGGCTGATTTTATTCCACTCTCTTATGCTGGATGGGATAAATGATTTGGAAAATATTTCTGTACGACATCGAATTTCTTTTATTTTATATGCGTTTCGAAATGAATATGTATTTGTTGGTTCTAGATTTGTGAGGTTCTTAAGTTAAGGAGGTGTAAGGTTATTTATAATTTTGTATAGTAATTTTACTTTGTGTCGACTTCGTCGTTCTTTGAGTGGAATAAACCCAGTTTCCGCGTAGAGGGAAGCATGGCTAGTACGCTTAACTGCCCCACAAATAGTGTGTAGTGCATCAAGCTGAAGGGATTCGAGATTATTAGATAAGTAATCTGTGCATCCGTCCCAAATAACATCGGCATAGTCATAGTGCGGCAGAATGAATGAAGAATATAAGGTATAAACGATATTTCAAGGAGCGTAGGCAGTTTACTAATTTTGATACTTTACTAATGATACTATCAATGTGGCTGTTCCATTTACAATTGGCTTGAAAAGTAAGTCCAAGATGTTTATGTTCAGTTACTTCCTTTATTTCATAATGTTGCGTTTAGTCGTGAGTGTTAAAGTTTCTGTCTTGAGGGGGTTAAATGTCACTAGCCACGTTTCCGCCCATATATTGATTGTTTCGAGATCTTTGTTTATGGTAGCTGTGCATGCCTCTGGGTCATCTATTTTTAAGTATAGAGAGGTGTCATCAGCAAATAGTCTGATGTTTGATTGTATATCATTTACAATGTCGTTGATATATAATAAAAATAATAGTGGTCCCAATACACTGCCCTGTGGGACACCATCGGGGATGCCCCTTGAGTCCGAGGAGGTTCCATGTATTACGACGCATTGGTTTCGATTGTCTAAATAGTTCTTGAACGACAATAATAACCCTCCCCGCACTCCAGCAGCGTCCAGCTTGTGACAGAGTCCAGCATGCCAGACTCTGTCAAAAGCCTTGCTTATGTCACAAAAGACGATCCTGGTATATTTGTTATGATCAATGGCTTGACAAAAAAAGTGATTTAGATTTATTAGTTGGAATACAGTAGAACCACCTGGTAGGAAACCACTTTGCAGTGTTGTTAGTATTGAATTGTTCTTGAAGAAGTTAAAGACGAGCTTATATATTATTTTCTCAAATATTTTTATAATAATGCTAAGGAGAGAAATAGGTCTGTAATTGCTGCATTCGTTTGGGTGCCCTTTTTTGAAAATAGCCATGACATTTGCAAATTTCCATAAATTTTGAACGATGTGTGTTTCTAGTGAGAATCGAAAGAGTTGGCACAGAGGATTACTAATTTCATTTACAATAAATTTTAAAATTTTCGAGCATACTCCGTCCGGTCCGGAGGCTTTAGTTGTATCTAGGCTATTAATTACGTCTTTAATTTCTCCAGGTGTTGGTAAAATCTTGTCTAGACAGTTAGTATTCATTTTGAGGGGTGGAAGAGATTTATTAGTACTTGGTAGTTGGTAAAATCTTGTCTAGACAGTTAGTATTCATTTTGAGGGGTGGAAGAGATTTATTAGTACTTGGTAGTTCAGTTTGCTGTATGAAATAATTATTAAGGGCATTGGCTTTGTCAGTGAGCGTAAACAATGTATCGTTCTCAACTGTTAGTGGAGGAGGCTCGTTTGAGGATGCAACATTTGTCTTGGTATACGCGTTTATTAGATTCCACCATTTTTTTGTGCCAAAGATTTCTCTGTCATTAATTTTTGCATCAATTTTCTCAAAGTATTCTTTTTTACATTTCCTTATCAAGTTAATATAGTCATTTCTTATTTAAAGAAAGGTTTGCCAATCAGTTTCCAAATTTCGTTTTACTGCTCTTTTATGTATTTTGTTTTTCTTCTTTTTCATTCTTCTAATGCTATTATTCATCCAAATTTTGTCATTTTGTCTAATTGTTACAAATTTATTTGGTATATTGTTTTTTGCTATTGTAATCAATTTGCTAGTGAATTGAACACATGATGCATCAATATCAGATGGATCGACAAGATTATACCAGTTAGTATTTAACGTTGAAAATATAAACCATCTTACCCAGACCAGAAGATTCCATTCTGCTAGCATAATTAACAGTATCACCAAATAAACAATATCTAGGCATTTTCTGACCTACAACCCCGGCTGCTACGGGACCTATAGGGAAGAAAACGAGAGAAGTGAAAATGTAAACGTAAAACTACAACCAATATTTTTAGTTGTATCAAATTACCAAAAAAGTGGTAGAAAACATGTATTATTACATTTTAGACAGTTTTATTACAAATAGCGCTCTTTCCTTCAGTCAGCAGCAACTGCAGTGAGACACGTTGCCGCACCACGCTTACACTGCTAGACATTAATCACGACACGCTTGAAACAGCCAAAACACTGGTTAACAGAACATTGCCTCTGGACTATGTCTAGATTATTTCTGATATAGAAGCATTTATATGTGTATAATTTATTACAGGGCTAGTTACCTGAATGCATGCCAGTTCTAAGTTGTAGAGTTCTATCTGGTCGATGTTTGATAGTAAATATGGACATAGAAGCTAGTAAATCTAAAGCCATTGTTGCTATTTCACCAGCATGTCGGTTACCATTACGTACCGGAAGTCCACTAGCCACCATATAGGCATCGCCTATTGTTTCAACCTGCCAATTCACAAGTTATACATTCACAAATCATTCATTTCTTCGGTCATGTACTTTAATAATTGATGATTTTTTGCATTTAAATGTATATTATGAATTATCCTAATTACTTTAAGTATATTATCAACGGGAAACATGACAAAACAGATCTTCAGTGATGGCAGGCGTTCAAACCATGGATGCTGCTTCGCCCGTATATGCCGGGCATATCTTAAACAACTTGGCAAATATGCCCAATCCAGACCCTCCCCGGTTCTCGCAGACCATTATTTTGTTCCTCCTACAATCATCGAAATAACGCCTAACAAACAAACGTGCGAAGCATTGCCGCCGTTTTGGCATCACCTCAATCTAATCCTATACGTGTATGCTCCCAAATGAGCAAAAATAATCTTTAAGGGCTTCTGATTTTATAAAATTCTCGGGCAATCCCTAAGAAGACCTCAAGTGAGACTTCTCGTTGTCTGCACCTTGGACCCCTTATGACGACCATAAAACGTTTTAAATGCAGATTAGCCAAATAACGTGATTTTTAATTACAAATATATTACAAAATATCGTGGGCGAGGAGTTGCCAAACAAACGGTTGCCGTGCAAGATACTCGAACATTTAGTAAGAAATGGACAGAAACAGGGAAAATTGTAGCATCTATCGCGTTCATAAGGCTTTGGGAAAGGGGATTGGGGTAACTCCAGAACGGAAGGTAATGGAACAATGGGGTTCGTCGTCTAATGTCCCCGTTGCTTCAAAATAAATGCGAACCATCTGTTAAAACTAAAGCTTCTATCACGTTCAAGGGAATCGCGGTGGCTTAATGAGCAAAACGTTTTACTCACTAATCATTTTCCGGCGTGGTTCCCCCTTGTCAGTGGTGCAGGACAGAGAGCATGGCAACGGACAAAGTATAATCTTACCGATTGGACGAAAAACCGAGGTATTGTGTACACATTAGCACGCACTTAAAACATCCTGGACGGTTAGAATTCGATATAAGAGTAGGCGGTAGTGCCGCTGTCAGGACAAAATTTTCCTCATATAACATACTGTATGGCGTATACCCGTCTTCATTAGCCCAATCGGAGCAGAACAATGGAACCTAGTTCTATCGCTTTCACGAGACTTTTGGAAAAGGGAGCAGAAGCAAGGCTCGATCCACATTCGCATCTTTTTTATCCTTAACATAGAATTTAAGTTACATTTAAGTCAGACAAAAATTATTGGCTTTAAAAAGTCCACAAACTTTGTACCGTACGTATTTTACATTTTACGTAAAAGGCAGGGTCAGTCCGATGCGCCCAAAAATCGAACTCATCCAAGATCTTTTAATCTTCAACATATGACGCCTGGAGGGTCCACAACCTTGGTACATATATATTACATGTTTTGCCGCTATTTGCGAAAAGGGCGGGCCGGTTAAACGCGAAGTTCCGGTCCTATGTTCTGTAATAAACACATATTTGAAAGGCATTTAATATCGAATAAAAATTGTGACGTGTTTAGGGTTCAAAAGCTATTATCGCGGTTTTCGTACAATCATTGGTAATAGTCCAGGAAGTTATGGTCGAGATATTCGGGATATAAACATGAATTTTAAGTTTTCTAAAATAGGGTAAAAATTGTGACTTCTAAGGGTAAACAAGCTAATCACACATAATACATCCACGTGAAAATGAAGTCGTACAATAATGAAAAATGTTTGATAGTCGGGGAAAAAAAATTTCATCACTCTGAAATAGTATATTAATGATGGAACAATTTAGTGGAACAATTTGTTAGACCAATCAGCGCAAGCCAAAATATCACGTGATCTCAGGAAATTTTCATTTGTCACGTGATTGGCGGTGTCACACGTTGTTCTGAAAAAATGTTAACACAATGGGGAATGAGAGAGAGAGAGAGAGAGAGAGAGAGAGATGGGGTTTAACGTCCACTCGACACAAACTAGGTAATTTCGGGACTAACATATAGTTTAATTTTATTTCAATAATTCTCTTGTGCGTAGGGGTCTTTAGCAGTGGGAGGAAACCGGAGGACCCGGATTAAACCCACGAGGTTGGACAGGCGACCCTACTCCTTGTCACGTACAACCGGAGAATCGAAACCACGCCAGTTGACTCAATGACAGACTTTATGATACAGCGCGCACACACGCTCACCATTCAGCCATCCACCCCCATGGGGAATGATATACTTAAGCATATGAATGGCAGTCAAAAATTCATAAGTAAAATTCCCAATAATCTTTTATATCCACTAGCATGTATAGTACTGAATAAGGTCCATATTTCAGCAATAAATATCCTACACAAGCGATGCAACCGTAACGGTAAGTCCATTAAAAAAAATCGACATAATCTATAATAAACATCATTAATCTTACCTTATATACGTCATATAAATCTATGATATTATCAAAAGTGGTGTACAGATCATTTAGGAATTCAACTATCTGAAATAAAACAAAGCTACATTTACATTTTATACACTATTATGAAACTAAATAAATTGGGGTTTAACGTCCTACTTTTCTGCTCCATCCGGTCTGATGTGGACGGACATACGCCATACAGGATGCTACCGGGGGAATTTTATCCGAACAACAGTGCTTTCAAGAGTTATATTATTGCGTGCACAGAAACGTGTACATGGGACCTCGGTTTTTCGTACCATCCGAACGACTAGATTCTATTCCTTGCCCGGCACCCATCCCTGCACCACGCCTGGAAATATGGGGCTCGAAAACTAAATTTCCAGGTTAGCCATCCAAAACTTAAAGCCTCAATACCACTCTTGTTGTAACTGAATAATATGTCCCAATCTTTATTCTGGTCAACAAATTGCACTATTTTACAATATTACAATTAATTGATGATACAATTTTCATCTTAACACACCTAATTTAAAAAATTGGAAAAATCCAACTAAATGATTTGAAAAGACTGACGTAAAGCTTTTCAAATGTGACTTGGATTTAAAAATATTTTTGAACCCTTTGGACAAGTAAAATAGGATTTAATGGATAATTTACGCAACAGGTAGGACACTAACACATCTAGTACTTAGAATAAGGCTATTTTTTATTTTCTGGAGCTGTCAAGACAGCAAGAGTGTTATTGTCCCTTTAAGTCTAATTACTATAGCTTACCTCTAAAGGAGTACTATTGGCTGCTAATCTTGTAAAACCCACAATGTCGCTGAAAAAGACCGTACAGGCCTCAAAATAATCTGGTTCTACAGTTTTACCACGTTTTAAATCATTGGCTATTGTTCTGAAATACAAAATCAATGCAGGTAAAATAATTAGAATATAACCCGTTTTACTGATGTAATAAATACTTTTCACAAGAAAACAAAATACGGCTGTTTTCTAAATTGTGAAAACGATATTAATGTTTTTGCATTTGAGATTCGATTTAACGAATCTTGTTTTGACTTAAAGCAGGCTATGGGATAAGATTTAACTTAACCTTACGTTGGAAGCATTCTGCACAAGAGTTCGTCTGTTTTTCTTTGTTCTTCTTCTAATTGCCGTGTTCTATCAGCAACAAGATCTTCTAAATGATCAGCATATTTAGATAGCATATGTATCATCTGATCTATAATATTAGTTGTTCTGAAATATACATAATTGTATTATAATCTACAAGATCTACATTATCAGCATGTTTAGAACATCTGATCAATTATATTAGTTGTTCTGAAATAGCATAATTATATGATTTGTATTATAATCTACAAGATCTACATTATCAGCATGTTTAGAACATCTGATCAATTATATTAGTTGTTCTGAAATAGCATAATTATATGATTTGTATTATAAACTAATAGATCACCTACTATAGAATATTAATATATTATACACTTAATTCGAATGCTAATTAAACATTATATAAAATGAATAAATTTCCAATAACATATATACGTACTTTCCCTTGTTCACTTTTCTTAAGCTTTCTCCTATCAGTGAAAAGGGTGGTCTTTGTAGTGGGTTCTCCTCCCAACACGACCTCATGATATCTGTTATAGCATCTGCTACCAAACCACTGGGAACAGAAGGGCGGTAGGGCGGACATTCTCCGGTAATTACTCTTTCAATGATTTCTGACAAAAGATAATATTTAGATTTAAACAAGACTGTTAACCTACTGGGTTAATAAACATATTTTATTGTATGTATTTACTATAATGGATACTTTGATGGCACACTAAGTATTGTGCTAACTGACTAAAGAGGTGGGAAAAGGTTCAATCCGGGTAAAGAAGGTTACTCGGGGTTATCCAGTCTCCATTTGTCAGGGTTGCAGGACGAAGGGCCTGGTAAGGACAAACTAAGGTCCCCCCTAACAGTTTGAAATGGACGAATAGGCGCCGGAGCCGGGCATTGCGTATGACTGTCTTACCGTCCGGATCTGTAGCTTCGTTACCATATGGTCCTGTTCTTAATATAATCTCTTGGAGAATAATAGCAAAAGAATAAACGTCGCCTTTTTTATTCCCACGAATATGCGTTGTTGGATCACGCAAAATTTCTGGTGCTGTCCATAATTTATCTGAAATGATATAAAAAACAATAACAATTTAGAAGATATTTGTTAACATTTGATAACAACATGTAATGGGTAGAGGAGGAAGAGACAGCATTTCGTTTAGCTTTTTCAAATTTAACAATGTGTTATATATATATATCACATATAGAAATGGAAACTAAAAATAACAAATAACATAATGGGCACAAGGACAGTCTATAATGAAATATTGGTATTTACTCTTTTAAAAAATACAATAAAAGGAAAGGGGTAATTTGAATTTACAATTAGGTATTAATCACTTAGCAACACACAGTTGTATGATCCTTCATTTATCTTGTAGTGCCCATGTCAAATAGTAAGTGCCGTTGATCCGCACTATACAGGCAAAGTAAAACCGACGAGACAAAGCTGCGGACAGGACAAACTACATAGCACATTGCAAGAAATAAAGAACAAATATCAAATCAAGTGAATGGACCCGCGGGCCAACGTCAGTAATGATACAGACTTCATTCAAAATAGAAAAAAGAATAATTAATGATTTAACACAAAGACGCAATACAAATAATTATACCGGTCTTGACGGTGGTTGTCCCCTGAATGGCGATAGTTAGCCATGGGTTAGATTTAGAACGTCAACAAAATTTAGAAACCATTCCAGTTCTTTACAGCAAAGGGGGTACATTTATATATTTATCATTTAAATAGTAATACAATTTTCTTCGATAAATATCAAACTTACTGCAGTTCTGTTGATGTTGTCCTAAAACAGATGTCCTTTCGCCAGCTCTAAATAAGGGCATTAAAACATCGCCTACTTTACAACACCAGTGATTATCTACAAGAATATTTGATGACTTCAATCGACCATGACATTCAACTTGTGAGTCGTGTAAAAATGTCATACCCTAAAACAGAAATCAAATCACAATAAATGTCTTCATGGTTTCAAAATGACCAATAATCCGATCCACGTGATAACGGTAACCTATAGTTTGGTAGAGGAGAGCATACGTTAAGACCTTGCGATCGCCAGCCACAAAAATCCCTGGCGCATGAAAACAGTAACGTATTCTATCATCACAAATCAAAATTAATTCATTACTTACCCTAACGATATCACTTATAAATGAAACTTTAAAGATCCAATCTAACTTGATATTTTCATTCTGTAATACGTCTTGTAAGCTGCCTTTGCCACAGTAGGCCCAAATTAAACAGATCTTCTGTGGCTCCACGCATGCTCCTATCAATTGGTTTATGGTCTTATATTTCAAACTGCGTATCTGAAATAAATGAAACGATAACCTGTTTAATGATTGTATCGCAAACAAATAGCAGAAGGTCATGTCTGTATGGCTGCAGTCAGTGCAATCCCGAACTTTCAAATACAGTGAAATATTAAGATGGTCGTAATTGTAGGAGCGTCTTAATAGCCTAGATTTGATATAAGATATTATACTCAATGTAGTGCCGAGTAATAAGGTAAATTAGCATGCTATACATGTATATTCATATTTCGGGAACATTTTTAAATGAAAGGTTTATTCAGGAAAGAAAATTCAGTTTACTGAAAGCAATTTTCGTATGCAAATGAGGTTCTAGTAGTTTCCATATAAGGTATATGTTCTATTATGCAAAGTCCCAAATATATTTGCCTATAATGCAGAGTACAGAATGGAGAAGTGTAATGTGCAAAATAACTGACACATTACTCCCTTTTATAGGCTACTGTATATTGTATTATTGATAAGTGTATTCTGTATTTTAACGGGGGGGGGGGGGGGGGGGTAACGCTTGTGCGTGTGATGTAGTAAAATTGGTAGAATTTTTGCTCTTTAAATTAAAAGCATTGTATTAATAATATATATTTGGCTAATTATTAAATTCACACATTATATAGAAGTCATGTCTCATATACACTAAAAATGACTGATTATCTGGTTCCGTGGGAATGAAAATATCATGTTTAACACGTGATTGGAAATTTACTGATTGCATCATTTGGCTTGAGTAACCAATCACTATAATTAATGTGACCAATTAGATAATTGAAGATCCAAAAACCCAAAGATACAAGACCATCATATTTATGGCCATTCGTCAGACAACAGCTTGATTTCAGAAGGAAAAGATGTAGCAATCTCAATCAGCAGACTCGCCCCAGCGAGACTTGCTGGATGGGGTTTTGAGAGAATGACTTATTGTAATCTATTATGCATTGTACCGTATGTAAACAGCTTGATATATAAAATGTAAAAACGAACTGTTGCATTGTTATTCCTGGTAAGACAAACGTCTTAACTAATGAGAAGACAAACGTCGTGCACAACATGACGGGGAAGCAAAGGCGACAAGTGAAAATACTAGACGATCACAAGACTATTAAGATCTGTAATAAGAAAAGATACATATGGGTTATACGCCGGATGTGGCGATCGGTCTTAAGTATTTTCCGCTTTCCAGACACACGTCTGACAAAAGACAACGATCATAAGGTCTGTCTTTGAGTCAAGTGGTGTGGTTTAAATTCTCCGCTTGTACGTACCAAAAATTATAGTGTCGGATTTTCTCCGGAACCTAAGGTTTCCTACCCCCCCCCCCCCCTGCTAAGGATCCCTACGCGCTCGCCAATTCTTAAAATAAAAATCAAACATGTTTTCTCCAAAATGAACTAGTTTGTGTGTGTGTGTGTGTGTGTGTGTGTATGTCTCTCTCTCTCTCTCTCTCTCTCTCTCTGTTCCTTAACATTGTGCACATCAATTGTGGAGATTACTGATTGAAACAGCCGCGTTTTCACAGGCCTCACAGGCTGCTATCACCACACGAGCAAGAGCACGGCACAGTGATAAGTAAAATTCAGTGCGTTAAAAAATAACATTTGGAACAAAAAAAGGAAAGAAAGCGAAAAACAAACTGAAAAACGTCTATATTTAAAAGCTTATACTTACACGATTGACTTCCACAATGACATCTGTTGTAACAGCTAGGAAAGGTTTCAGTATAGGTTTTATAGCTACTAGTTGTCCGTCTAATACAGCTACTTGTGTAAAGATTTGTCCTGATAATGATAACATTGTGTCATTACTGTTACCGGTTTTCATCGATGATCCACAGTTAGAGACACTTTTATCGCCCTTATAAAATAAACAAAAGATAGGTTCAAAAATTGATCGACTGTCAAATTTTGAAGTGAGAGACCTGGTGTAGGTCTACTATTTCAGTCAGACAGTAAATAAATGTTTTATTGACGATAAATTATATGTAAATAGTTGCATGTAAATTGCCATGTTTGACTTCAATAGAGATACAAATGCGAATACGCCCCTGCTGCAGTTGTCTGGGAAAATAAACCGACAGCCACAGACAGCTGCTAATCCGAAAGGAAAACTTTATTGTTGACCATACTTGTTAAGGATATAATATACTATTCAAAAAAAGTAGGGGATATTTGATTTTGGGGGCATAATACTAAAATATGCAAATGACTACGAAAAAAGTCACTATAGAACCTAACAGAAGAAACATTTCCAGTTACATGTGACGCCCAAACGCACCAATAGCTACCGCATGGAATGCAGGTGATGCTTGGGATCATCATGGGGGTCCAACCCAAGATTTGCACGACTCTGACTTTGAATGTTACAGTCATTGTGGCATTGAATTCCAGGGTGGAAACATCAGTTTAATTGTTTTAGTGACCAGAAAACAAATTTTGATATGCGTCGGCTTACCCAAAATGAAAGGTTACGTGCCCTTGGCATGCTACAGATCGGCACAACACAGGCGGTTGTGGCGCGGACGATGAATGTTTCTCAGTCTGTCATAAGCAGGCTATGGTCCAGATACCGTGATACACAATCTGTACAGGACAGACCACGCTCAGGTCGACCAAGGGCGACAACTCAAGCCCAGGATCGATTTATCCGTACCTTGGCCTTGAGAAATCGTGTCATCACAGCAAATCAGATCAGCGCTCGTCTTCAAACAGACACTGGTGTGAGAGTGAGTGGCCAGACGATTCGGAATCGACTGCATAAGGGTCACCTTCGCGCCCGACGTCCTCGCGTGATCCCTTGTTTGAGAGATCATCACAATCAGGCAAGACGTCGTTGGTGTAGGGATCGTCAACACTGGGATAATCGACGCTGGAGCAATGTGATGTTTTCAGATGAGTCAAGGTTCACTGTTGATTTTTTGGACAGACGTAGGAGGGTGTGGCGTCGTCGAAACGAGCGCTTCCAAGACGTTAACGTCATCAGACATGATCGATTTGGGGGTGGTTCTGTTATGGTGTGGGGAGGCATCACTGTTGCTGGAAGAACGGCTTTACATGTTGTTGCAGGGCGTGTCACAGGCCAGTACTACCGGGACAACATCTTGGCAGTCCATGTTGTGCCGTTCGCACGACGTCATGGCCGCCGTTTCATCTTCCAGGATGACAACGCAAGATGTCACAGGGCCAGGATCGTTACAGGTTACCTCCAACAACAGAACATCACCACATTACCTTGGCCAGCACTGAGTCCCGACCTCTCCCCCATCGAGCATGTCTGGGACATGCTTGGACAGAGGTAACGTCAACGTCAACAACGTCCTGCCAATGTCTAAGAACTTGCTGCTGCGTTGCAACAGGAATGGGACAATCTGGACCAAAATGACCTTAGACGTCTCATTAGGAGTATGCCACGTCGGATTAATGCTTGTTTGGCAAACAGAGGAGGATTTACCCGTTACTGACTTGGTTGTGATGCTGTGGTAACTTTGCTGTTTGACCCCGGGTATCATTTTACCCTTATAATGGTCAGTCTGTGCCTTACTTAGTCTAACGATCATTTGGAATAAATCGATGAATGTGAACTTCATTTCATTTTGTCATTTGTTTCTTCGTGAGTTTCATAAGGTGACTTTAATAACACTTAAAAATCAAATATCCCCTACTTTTTTTGAATAGTATATATACCTTCCCGAAATATGACCTCTATCGTTTTCTCAGGGCATGTAATATCAACAGGGTGTATCCCCTTCTGTTAGAAGCTGTAGCCTCTCTCGCGTTTATAAACTTTTCGAAGACTGCTGAACATAAACAAGGTTCGCCCTCTCATAACCCCAATGTTTCACACCAAATGTGAAAAGTGAAAATAAAATCTGTTAACCTCTATTGAATTCTTTAGATTTTCGGAAGAAGAAAAAATGTGGGGTGCTAACTTTGGACCAGAAGATCGCGGAACACTGAAAATCGCGGAACACTGAAAATCGATTGGGATTTTCTTCTCATAATCTTTAGAAATTGTAGTCTTTATCACTTTCACATGATGTCGGGAAAGGGTGCATAACTCTGGAACAGAAGGTTGCGGAACCCTGAATATCGATAGTGGGTCGTCCTAGTTGAAGAAAAAATCCATTAAAAACCGTAGCCTCTATAGCGACCACAAGCCATTTTTTGACGGACGGACATGGGTGGCGACAAAATACGTCCCCACTAAAATGTGGGCTAATAAAATTAAATTTTGCTGGTTCGAGTGCGCGGCATGAATTACATCAAAACTAACCCGAGGATACACTTCTTAAACATTAAATAGTATTGATAAACAAAACCGTATACATAAAACCGAAATCTAAAGCTTTTTGAAAGCCGATATTACTTACAGAACTCTTAAAACTGGCTTGAGATAGCCGATTTAATTCTCGAACCTGTAGTCTGTTAAAGGCAATCTTCCAATCCATTCGATATAATCTGTCTTTCTCTAATTTGCGTCTACGTTGTTCATCCATGTTAAAGAGAATACACTTCATTCTTGAATTTATTTAGGAAGGCATTGCCAACTGATACGACAGTGGCTCGAACATATCAAAAAATAAGTTTATTTTCAATTAGAATTTTACTTTATTATTTCTAAAGCCGGGTTAATAGTAAAACCAACGGCGAATCCTTTATAATTTCAACAAATAATTATTCTCAACAATATCTATATTCATATAATTCTGAATAAGCATTGTGCAACAGGCACAGTCAGGATCGTGCAGAAAAGTAAACATGAAATTTCCACTGTACTCTCACGGTACACAATATGCGATATATCAATGCAAAGGTATTTTATGTATTTTACCTCATTTTTTGGACCATTCGAACGACAAGACACAGTTTCCCGTTCAGTCCCAAAAGCGCCACCCCTGAAACTGCAAGGAGCAGTGTCTAGTCGTTCGGATGGAACGAAAAACCAAAGTGCCGTGTACGTAAAACAATCCTTGAGAGTTGAATTTCGTAATAAAAGTAGGCCGTAGTGCCTCGTGGCACACTGTATGGCTTATCCCAGTCTTGATTAGTCCAGTCGGAACAGAACATTAAGACGTTAAGCCCCATTTCATGCAGAATACCAACCTTCTATATACCATGAAAACCGCTGTTACGGTGGATATTATCAACACAACAAATAAAGTAACCCCAATAGCTATATACGTTACTGAAATAACAAAAACGAATTAAAACTATGGACTGTGTAAAACGGCGGGTAGCTAAGTCTCTAATTCAATATCATCCAAAGTCTTCGACATTGAAAACATGAATTACTTGTCGATTTAAATCAACATTGATGTTGTGATCTTGCTGGGAAACGATGGGCTTCTGATATCCAATATTTAAGACAAAATAAACATTTTGCCATTCGTACCATAATGCGATAACCTAACATTTCAAGCTTCGACAAAATCGGATCAAAATTGTGACCTCTGGAGTTTCCACAAACAAATTGTGGACGGACAGGGGAGACGACAATATACGCCCACATGAAAATGTGGGCGCATAAGAATGTCCAATGACACCGATGATCAGACGAAGTAAAGACGAAGATGACACGATTTGACAAGATGCCCTCACGGTGGCCGTAAGAGGGACAATGAAACGAAAATGAACCTTCGCAAGATTTTGCCAGCGTCCAATAAGTAGCTGCCGGAACCTGAGAAACTCCACATAGGGAGTCATACGATGGCTTAAAATGACCTCACGATGTTTTTACGATCAGTGCCGTATTTGAACATTTTTACTTTATCATGTGTCCATCTGGTGTCAATTTCGGGACAGTGTGACGCCCGCTTAAAGGCCAGTACGATTTTCATTAGACATTCTAATTACAGATCAGCAGAATGTTCATAAGATGTCCTAATGAAAGATCAGTAATATATTCATGGGATATTCTGGTAAAAGATCAGTAAGATAGTATGCGGTATTCTGGTAAAAGATCAGTAAGATATTCACGAGATGTTCTGGTAAAAGATCAGTAATATATTCACAAGCTGCTCCTAATACACAAAAACACATGCTTATGGAAAACAAACAGCTACTTATTTATTTGGGCGACGTTTCGAAGAGTATTCTCTCGACGTTATCAATATCAAAGGGGAGATATTCTACAAAAACTAATTAACACTAAGGTTGAGTGAAGCCAGATGAAGCCCTTTGTCCCCAGTCCTCAACGAGATCTATATGACTAGTTTTGAAAAGAATGCCCTATTCACTTCACCGGTTCAACCTACAGTTTGACTTCGTAGGGTAGATGATAGTTTGGTCATTCTCAAGCAGAATGAATAAACCCATCCTCCTCCTCAGCCACCTCAACAAGCAAAACAACAGAATAAAATTCGCGATAGAAAAAGAACAAAACCAATACCTCTCGTTCCTGGATGTAGATAAACTGAATACTAGTGTATATAGAAAGTCCACACATACCAAACAGTACATCAATTATAATCACCCGCACAGCGTAAAGAAAGCTACTGTATCCATTTAGCGCGCAGAGCCGTGAACATCTGCGACCAAGAATCCATCAGAGCAGAACTTGATCACATTGAAACATCTCTAACCAACCCCAATAACTACCCCCGACAATTAGTGTAGAAAATCATCAAGGCCACCACTAACCCCCCTACAGATGTAAGCAAACCTAAACCAGATAAACCACCAATGAGAATATCAAAACCATTCCAAGGCAAACTATCATACCACCCCAGAAGACTCGTAACCCCACCAAGTATATCCAGGTAAAGTTTTCAAAAGGAAGAACCCTCAAAGATCTCCCGAAGACCAGTGGCAAACTTCCCCCAACTACGATCCATAAGAACGTGTTTATGAAATCACCTGCACGTGTGACAGCAAATGTATCGGAGAAACTAGACAGCCTTTAGAATCAGTCAGCATAAATCTAAGTCCTCTACCACCAATTCAGCCGTGGCCCAACAAATACAATCCAAAATACAAACTCTGGCAGCCAACCTACCGATAGAAAAACCCCGCAAACTTATTGAGGCCACACATATTAAAAGAAACAGTCCAGATCCGAACTGCAACACAGGGATATTCCTGCCAAGTGCTTATGTTTATTTTGTTTGTTTTGTGACGGGTGGAACATGTGCCCTAAATGTATTCAATTACCTCGACTCCATTGAACACTGAAACTTTTCTATTGATTTAGAGCATTTAGTTTTTAGACTACTTTTTTATACATTTCATCGATATGGTTACTTGTATAGTTGAATTTTACTACAGTATGCTTACATTCGTATTTCTTGTAGCATATGACAGATCATGACTCATGCTGACATTACACAATGATTTCTTTGGGTTGTATTCCTGATAGTTTTCAAATTTGAGTGAAGTCTGTGTCACTACAGGCAGTGGACGCTTACGGCTAGCCCCCGGATCCATTCACTTTATTTTAAATTGTTTGTTTATTTGTGGTTTCTGAGTATGATATCTTGTCCATGTATTTGTTTTTATGTAAATTATGTGTGGTGCAGTCCCCCTGCACTATTAGAGTAGAGTTTTTAACCCTTCGTACTGTAGAATGTTCTCGTTGTCTGGTTTCGCTCCTGTTTACTCACTACATGTTTTTCATCACCATTATCATCATTATTTATTTATTTATATATATTTATCCAATTTTTCAAATATGGTTCTTACTAAAATAAATTTAAGAACCAGTGGGCAGTCCCAACCTGGAGTAGCCTGCCATAGGGCTAGCAACCCTATGAGAAATTTTGTCCCTCTACGCGGAACACCTTAGGTGACTCCGCATGTTAATCTCGCCAATAAGAATCTAGCAGGTAGTTCTGATGAATTGGCTGCGGGGGGAGGAATTTCGACTAATGTGACATCAAATCTTACCCATAAGGGTAACTAACCTAATAATTCAATTGATTCGAATTTAAATTGTGAATTTTTTAGTCTGTCTTTTGGTACTAATAGACAGTGTAAATTATGTGCTGATTACAATGAAGCCCACACGTTTGGTAGCTCGGTTACTGGTAGATGTTACCATATTTCTACAGATCAAAACCTTAATTGTAATACGCAAAATATAGTATATTTATTGACCTGCAATTACTGCAGATTACAATATGTTGGGGAAACAAGTAAATCTTGTAAACCAATGTTTAATTATCATAGATCTGCAGGAAATTCTGAAAATGCACACAGACTACTATATCAACATTTTAAACAAAATCCCTGTAAGGATTTTGGATACAGAATACAAATAATTGAAAAACTTCCCGGTTCAGGACACCTCACTAATGCAAAATTGATCCTGTTGTTACACAAAAAAGAACTAATGCAGAGGAAACTTGGATAATAAAATTACAGACCATTTTCCCTTATAGTCTCAATGATAGATTTAAAAATATCGATTATAACAACCGTGATGAAAACACTTTGATTACAAGAAATTGTTACAAAAAACTTGACCATAATTTTCAAAATAAAAAACGTTCTATAAAAAAATTGAAATTTCAAAAAGACCCGGAAAGTATTTTGAATGAATTGTATTCTGCATGCCAATGCCATACTTCCGATAAATTGTCCTGTGCAGCTTGTGTACTCAACCTAGCCCGACAAGTTGTACACACTTTGAAAAAATCAACAGCTAAGAAACTTGGTGTCCCCATAGAGGAAATCATCTATTCTAATCAACCTAATGAAAGCTTTCTTCCTCAATATTACGATGTTATAACCGATTTGATAAATAGTAAATTTTCAGCTAAGAATTCAATACAGCATCATAAAGTGCATAAGAAAAAACCTGATGTGTTATGTAAAATCCTTTTTACAGATAAACATATACAAGCCATTGGATTGAATAGAATCTTTAGAGACTGATCAGTAATTAAATCTATACCAGATACTATTCCTAAAATTTCACCTACAGCCGTATACAAATTTTTACCTCCAATTCGTAATAAAATATTTAACTACCATGAAACTATTGAAAACCTTAACGTAATACCACATGTCAATGCGCCAACTCTCCCTTTAAAGACAAGTTTCGTGACCATATACTGACAGGAAACTTCGATATTGTTGAAGATAAAAATCTTAAAAACCTTTTTCGCTTTGGACCACAAATTCGAGAACAACCAAGTAAAACTAATTTCAAAAAGTTACATAATAATCTAAAATCTCAAATCAGGAAATGCATAGTAACTTGGTCTGATAAATTTCGTGCACCTTTAGAATATTTTGGAGAATGGAAAAACACTGTTTTTAATCTCTTGTCAAAGAGAATCAAATATATAAAACTTAACCCAAGACACCTGCCACCCGAAGTCCTAAATAATACATCCGCAGTTGAATGTCTTGCTGCTCTTCAAGAAAGTTTTTTTCTAACGCCTGTCGATAAGGCCAGCAATAATATTGCCTTTATCTGTAAAAAATACTATATTAGAAATATTCTTACTGAAGTTGGAATCTGGCCCAATACCAATAATGACA